GACCTTATACATATGGATATCTGGGGTCCTAATGTTAGCCCATCTCATGATGGTTTTCGTTACTTTTTGACCATTGTCGACGATTTCAGTAGAATGACATGGGTTCTACTTATGAAACAAAAATCAGACACCAGACCTCATTTGATTTCTTTTTACAACCTAGTAGAAACCCAGTTTTCAGCTCGCATTAAACGAATCCGAAGTGACCAAGGGAATGAATTCAAAATGAAAGACTTCTTTGCTAGTAAAGGCATCATTCATGAGCTATCCTGTGTAGAAACCCCTGAACAAAATTCCAAAGTAGAACGTAAGCACCAGCATATTCTCTCAGTTGCTCGTGCTTTGAAATTCCAAGCAAACCTACCTATCGAATTTTGGTCAGACTGCGTTTTACATGCTGTTTTCCTCATCAATCGCATCCCTTCTCAAATTCTTTCCAACAAATCCCCCTTTGAACTTTTACATAACAAACCACCTGATCTTACCTTTCTCAAAGTATTTGGATGTCTCACCTTTGCCTCCACAAATCCCAGTACTAGAAACAAGTTTTCTTCTCGTGCAAGAAAATGTATTAATATTGGTTTCACACCTGGTATCAAAGGGTATAGATTATATGATTTAGATAATCATCAGATATTCACATCCAGGGATGTCCAATTCCATGAGTCTGTCTTTCCCTTTGCTGTAAAACAACCTTCCAACCCTACATCCATTTCTCCTTCTCCCATTCCTATTCCTGTACAGGACGATGATGATCCTCCTTACATCCCTCCAGTTTCTGCTTCTCCTTCCTCCTCTTCTCATTCTGATCCAGATTGTGATTCTGATGGTGATGCTCCACCTGACACACCACCTTCTCCTGTCATTCATCACAGTCACACACAATCACCCTCGCCATCATCTACTTCTTCCTCTTCAACTTCTCCCATGCCTCCTCGTGTCATTCGTCCTCCTTCTCGACTTCAAGACTATGACTGTGAGCTCTTGGTCAACCGCAGACCTCACTTATTTGCATCTAAATGGTGTCCAGCAACATCCAGTTCCAGGTATCCAATTGATTCTTATATTTCTTATGCTGCATTCACTCCATCTCATCTTCGTTTTGCTCTTGCTATTTCTGCACATAAAGAGCCTGCTACTTATCATGAGGCTGCTCAGTGCAATGAATGGAATTTGGCCATGCAACATGAAGTCACAGCCCTTGAAAGAAACAAGACTTGGGACATAGTACCCCTTCCTCCTGGTGTGGTTCCTATTGGCAACAAGTGGATCTATAAGATCAAATACTTGTCCACAGGTGATATTGAGAGGAACAAGGCACGCCTTGTTGCCAAAGGTTACACACAACGTGAGGGAATTGACTACATGGACACTTTTGCTCCAGTAGTTAAAATGACCACAGTTCGGTTATTCTTGGCTGTGGCAGCAGTTCGTAATTGGCATCTCCAGCAACTGGACATCAACAACGCCTTTTTACATGGCGACTTAACTGAAGACGTGTATATGAAGCTTCCTCAAGGTGTTGCAGCTCCTCCAAACATCATCAATCCAGTTTGCAAGCTGAAGAAAGCCATCTATGGCCTCAAACAGGCGTCTCGACAATGGTTTTCCAAGCTTTCAGACAGCCTCTTGCAGCAGGGTTATGTTCAGAGCAAATCAGACCACTCATTGTTTACCAAGGTTTCCCCTACCTCTTACACAGCAATCTTAATATATGTCGACGATCTCATTATTGGTGGGAATGACATTCTGGAAATCAATCACATCAAAGCCCATCTGCACCAAGCTTTTAGCATAAAAGATCTAGGGGTTCTCAAATATTTTCTTGGTCTGGAAGTGGCTCGCAGCCCCAAGGGAATTCACCTTTCACAGCGCAAATACACGCTGGAAATACTTGAAGAGGCTGGACATCTTGGAGCCAAACCAGTTTCCACTCCCATGGATTATAAAGTACATCTGAAGATGGATGATGGTTCTGATTCTGTTGATGCTACTGCTTATCGAAGCTTGGTTGGGAAGCTGATTTATTTGACAACAACTCGTCCTGACATCAGCTTTGCCACTCAGCAGGTAAGTCAGTTCATGTGCCACCCTACTGCCACTCATCTCAAAGTTGTTCAGCGCATTCTCAGATATCTGAAGAAGAGTCCTGGTGCTGGTATTTTCTTCTCCTCCCAGTCCTCTCTTGAATTGAAAGCCTTTAGTGACTCGGATTGGGGAGCTTGTCCTGATACGCGCAGGTCGATCACTGGTTATTGTTTATTCCTGGGAAAATCACTTGTCTCCTGGAAATCCAAGAAGCAATCCACCATATCTCGATCCTCTTGTGAAGCAGAGTATCGAGCTCTGGCACACACTACGTGTGAGATTCAATGGCTGCTTTTTCTCCTTCAAGACTTCAAAGTGCCTCATCCCAAGCCTGTTTCTCTTTACTGTGACAACCAATCTGCCATCTATATTGCAGAGAATCCCACATTCCATGAGCGGACGAAGCATATAGAATTGGATTGTCACTTGGTTCGTGAAAAACTACTTGCTCAAGTCATCAAGGTGTTACATGTGCCTTCCCCTCACCAACTTGCAGACATATTTACCAAGCCACTTTCTCCAGGACCCTTTTCTTCTCTTCTGTCCAAGCTTGGAGTGCTGAACCTCTGCCCTCCAGCTTGTGGGGGGGTAACAGCAGAAGAAACGTCAGTTTTTTCTTCACCTAAAACGACAGTGCAGAAGGAGTGAACACGAGCCTGTCACGTGCTTCCACAACGGTCGACAACGACCCTTTTCACTTTACCATTTCACTGTTTTATTCCTTTTACAGTCTGAGCTGGTTTCTTTTGTCCTGTAATGAACACTTCGATATATAAATGAAAGGAAGAAGGCAGAAGGAAGATTAACTTTCCTTCTTCCAATTTTCTCTGAGAAATTCCTTTGTTAAAGTTTTAAATCGCACCCATCATTATACGTACATCTTTCTCCCGCTCTCATTCTCACTGTTGCGGTTACTTAAACCGTGTTAGTATTGGGCCTTGTTGGGCCTCGTCTGATTCTTTGGATTAGGGTTTTAACCCTAAGTTTATCTATATAAGCTTAGCTATAGACTTGTGTGATAGCAAGCCGTCAAGATGTAATCCTAATAAGAGATCAGTCGTGAGCTCTTATGAGCTCACCGTGGATTAGTCTCGATCAATCAAGATCGAGGATACCACGTAAAATCTTGTTTTCTCGTGTTATTTCATCTTCCGCATCATCAAATTCTTCATGGTATCAGAGCGAAACTCGATCCTTTGTTAGGGTTTTGAGCTTCCGCAAGTTTTTGTCTTGTCGTCTTCCTCAATCAGCCACGGTGAAAGAGGTTTATGGCTCCACCGACGTCGTTAGACTGCCGCTGTCGTCGTCTACCGCAGAGGTGCAGACCTCTGATTCCGATCTTACTCGGAGACTTCCGGGTGTCATCGACCCGCCATGGCTCCATTTTTCTAAAGAGCAACGCCAACTCAGTACCGGCGGCGAAGTCCTTTCCCGCCGTCGTGTTTAGCTGCCTGACTCCAGGAGAGCCGATGTCCACTCCGGTCTCCCAACCAGTATCACTGTCGTCGTCGGCAAGACGACATCCCTAGATCCGCCATCAGTGTCCCGGCTGTCATCCTCATCCGTCTCTAGTGGCATTAAACTCGGCATCCGAATCAACTTCGTTTGAATCGGCACCAATCATCTTCCGCCTCACCATGGATTTGCCGCACCTGCCGTCGCAACACCTTTGGTAGTCATTCCTCTGCCACTGTCTTGCGAAAGAGAAGAAGAATGGAGGAGGCGAGAAAAGAGAGCGGGCAAAGGGTTTCCCCAAATTACATTGGGCCAGCAAAAGGCTTAGCCAAAAAAAAAAGGCCCTTATGGGCTCCGCATCTAATTTGGTAAGGGTTTTAATGGACTCTCCAATTAGATTTTGGAATAGTTGTTTTTACTTGCAGGTGAGAAGCAAATCTCTAAACATTGAAACAGTGAGCATGTTTCGATTCAAAGATTGGTTGACCTTCACTTGTCATTGTTGGGGTGATATAGAGCTTCTGCAAGCAAAGTTAGTCAAGTATCGATCGAGGCGTTCAAAAGGTAGTACGATCAAAGAAGTCATCGTCCCTTCATCGTCCAGTTGGCATTCACGATCTATGAAATGGTCGTCCCCTCTTTCGGTTCAGTATTGGGCACATATCAACCATTCATCGCTTTTCAAGCTGGGCATTCACGTTGTTCATGCTCCAGCTTGAGGGGGAGAATAGGAGGTCAACATACGTCGGTCGACTAACTCAGTCATCAGGTCGACCGCGATGTACCAGGTGTGTTCAAGTTCAAGAGACGCAGTCAATCGTCTCCATCATCAGGTTGTTCAGAGAGAGTCAGTCGTCTCCAATCAACCTCGTCCGAGATGTTATTCATCTCGAGTTTTGTGGTTCAAGCTATCATGCTTGTTCTTCACATTTACTTCTTCAAGCTCGACATTCTTGTCATTCATGTCTTCGCTTGAGGGGGAGTGTTGCGGTTACTTAAACCGTGTTAGTATTGGGCCTTGTTGGGCCTCGTCTGATTCTTTGGATTAGGGTTTTAACCCTAAGTTTATCTATATAAGCTTAGCTATCGACTTGTGTGATAGCAAGCCGTCAAGATGTAATCCTAATAAGAGATCAGCCGTGAGCTCTTATGAGCTCACCGTGGATTAGTCTCGATCAATCAAGATCGAGGATACCACGTTAAATCTTGTGTTCTCGTGTTATTTCATCTTCCGCATCATCAAATTCTTCACTCACCGTCACCGACACACAGATCATGGCATCGACAGCTGACTCCCTCAACCCAGCAACTCAACTAGAGCTCTGCCACATCCTCCCGACGTTTCCCCCCCTCCGATGACATTTTAACCTTCCCTCTCACCGTCTTCGACCTCTACTGGTTCCGTACCCCGCCCATGGAACGCCTCTTCTTCTACCCGCTTCCTCCCCAAAATTCCACCCCCGACTTTTTCACCTCCGTCCTCCTCCCAAGCCTCAAGCTCTCCCTCTTCGCCACCCTTTCCCACTTCCTCCCGCTCGCCGCCTCTCTCACGTGGCCTATCGAATGCTCCAAGCCCTTCCTCCCTCTACGCTCCTTCATCCGGCGCCGTCGGAGGAGTTCCCCTCACCGTATCCCAATCCGCCGCCGACTTCCGCCACCTCGCCTCCGACGTTTCCCAAATACGCAGCGCCGACTTGTCCCGCCCTTTTGTCCCCGTCTTGCCATCTACCGACTCTTCGGCCGCCGTCGTCGCGCTCCAGATCACGTTGTTCCCGGGCAAAGGGTTTTCCGTCGGGATGACGTGTCACCGCGCCGTCCTCGACGGTAAATCCTCCAGCCTCTTCTTCAAGGCCTGGGCCCACTCATCCAAGTTCCCCACGGCCGCGCTGCCTCAAGAACTCACGCCGTTTCTGGACCGGTCCGTCGTCCATGACCCAGACGATATGTGTCGGGCCTACCTCCACTGTCGGGCCCATTCGGGGCCCGACCCAAGAAGCTTGAAGCTTCCACGGTTCACATCCGCGCCCGAGTTGGTCCGGGCGACATTCCTGCTCTCCCGAGAACGAATCCAGAACCTAATGCCCTGTTCACTTCCATTTTCATTTTCTGATTTCTGTTTAAAAAATGAAAATCAGGAAACAAATGACAAAAATCGTGTTCACTTGACCATTCCATTTTCCCTGGAAAAAATCAATTATTACAAATGAGAAAGCTTTGGGAAAACGATAAATACTTGTTTTCCGAAAATAAGGGCACGGGTTATCCCCCGTTTTCCAGCGGAAAACATACTTATTCATTAAAGTCGACCCGCGTTCGATTCACCATAGATACATTTTTTCTCCCTTTTTTCTCTGAGGTTCTAAGCGCTGCCGTTTTTCCACCGTAACCCTAGAAGAGAAACTTCCGCCTCTCCTCTCACTTCCTTCTACCTCTCGCTCGACCCTTCGCTCTGCCGCCAACCCGCCATTCCCTACCCCCAGGCACCCCGCCGCCATCATCTTCCTCTCCCTCCAGGCAACGACGCCGCGTCCGAGTACTCGAGCAGCAGCGAAGGAGACGGTGCAATCATCTTCCTCTACAGCCGGTACCCCGTCTTCCTCCTGCTAGCGACCCGTTCTACGTAGAAGCAGCAGCCGGCGCCCCGTCTTCCTCCAATAGAGAAGCTCCAGCCGCACATCTTCCTCCGACGGCGCTCTCGCTCTGGCGTTGCTGTTCAACAAGGCATTGTTTCCAATTCAGGTCCCAATTACCCTCGCGCTGACGCCTCCCATTGCCAGGGCTTTGGCCAGGAGAGGAATGATCAGGAACACCGTATGAGCTTCGAATTGTACTTTCTTTTCCATTTTATTCACTTCCGTGTTGCTTCCAGTGATTATGGGTAGCTTTTAGATCACGAGAGGATTACTGATAATGGTTCTTTGAGTAGTGATTTGAGAATTTACGACAATAGCAAATATCCATATGTGGTTTTGCTGTGCATACTTTGTTGTGCCTTTTCTGGATTTCAGAATAACAGGGAAAGATTCTAGCTTTCCGGTTTAATCCTTCCCGCTTTGTTGTTGCTATATGATCCAATTGATTTGCCTTCGTGCCCTAAAACTTCACGAACAAACATCATATATGAATCTAGGGTGTTCTTTGAAGTTTACGTATTGATGAATATGCTGAACTGGATGCATATTGATCTGCCCTAGAACTTCATGAACTGGATGCGTATGGATGAATATGTTGAATCTCATAATGGACTTATTTGAATTTTTATGTTGTACTAGTACTTACTTAATATAAGATGTTGTACTTGTATTGTGTTTATTTGTAGTTTAAAAACTATTAATTCGAATGAAAAATTATAATCATGGTTAGAGTTGTATGATAATCAAGAATCAGAAAACAGAATAAAGCAACTAAACAGGTTTTCATTTTCATAACTCAGTTTCAGAACTCACCAAAATTCTCAGCTAAACAAGGTTTTTTCAGGTTTTGTTTTCCAGGAAATGACAGCTTCGTTTTCATTTTAATTTTGTTTTCTGTTGTGGCAGCTAAGAGAAATGAAATGGCAAGTAAACCGCCCATAAGGCAAAGGGCCATGATGACGAAAACGACGACGTCATCCAGTCTGTCGAGTTTCGTGCTGTCCTTCGCCCACTCGATTGTTTGCATCGTGAAAGCCAAACGGCTGTCGGCGGAAGGAGTGGTTCACGTCGGCTTCATGGCGGACGCCAGGAGCCGGCTGACGCCCTCCCTGCCGGCGAACTACCTGGGGAACTGCCTCATCGGCAAGTCGGCGTGGATGGAAGTGAGGCCACTGTTGGGAGAAGGGGGAATGGGTTTTGCTGTGGAGAGGATCAGCGGGATGATGGATGAGTTGGAGGAAGAGGGAGGTCGTCGGCTGACGGAGATTCCGTCAACCTTTGACGGGAAGATGGAGGCGAGCCGAGGTGTGTTCATCGGGGTCGCTGGGTCCCCCAGGTTCAGGCTGTACGAAGCTGATTTCGGGTGGGGGAAGCCCAAACACGTGGAGGTGACGTCATCCGCAAGCATTTCCATGGCGGAGTGTAGGGATGGGAGCAATGGGAAAAAATCCAAAAATGCAGGAGCAATTAAAAAAATTTCCTAATCTACAACGCTTGTACAAATATTTCCCAAAATACCTAAGTTTCATGTAGTTCGAGTCAAGAAAACTCGACCCACTAAGAGGTTCGAGTGACAGTGCCTCGATCCATGGCATCGCAGTAAAACCACTCGATTGGCGGAGTTCTGACGACGGGGATCGAGCTTCAGCGCCGCGATCCGCCTAAATCGAGGGTGATGGACTCGATCTATGCCAAAGGAAGATTTTCCGTCCGCCGAAATCATGGGAAATTATCATAAACGTTTTCATTAATTACCTTAGATAAACGTTACCATTTAATACTTTATTTATTCTATTTTTAAAATAAAGCATATTTCTTAGCAAAGAAAGGAAGGTCTTTTTTTTAATCCGGTGCATGCATGCGGGCTGAATTCTCGCCCTATAATTAATTGACACAAAAAAAGCTAAGCATTAAATAGGATAATTAATTGACACGGTAATTAAAAAAGCTAAGCATTAAATAGATAAATGTTGGCCAATATAATTGACACGGTAATCCAACTTCAATGCCTTATCATCCGGTCGAATTAAATAGGATAATTAATGAAAACGTTTTTTTATAATTCCCCGTAACATCGGCAAACGAAAATAGGGTTTACGGAGGGGTGGTTCGCGGGCAAGAAGATCGAACGGCATAGATCGAGTCTTTCTCCCTCGATTTATTGCGACCCTTGAGTTGATCGAGGCTCTGCCACTCGAAGTCCTTAATGGATCGAGTTTCTTTGACTCGAACCACGTGAAACTTAAGTATTTTGGGAAATATTTGTATAAGTGCTGTAGTTTGGGAATTTTTTGTTATTACTGGTACATTTTGGGAAATGTTCCGGAGCAATGGAATCGAGGTTGGACTGGCTCTCACCGCGGACCAAATGGACTTCTTCTCTTTCTCCTTTGCTGGCTAATAAGGTAGATGGGAATGGAAATGCTATCAGGTTACCGATTATTTACATTCAGTTAATCCTTCCTTTTGGGGGTTAGTTAAAATAACCGGAATGTTATACCATTAAGCATGGAAATTACGAGAGCTGCGATTAAAATGGATACTTAGCCTAAGTATTTTATACAATGATGATGACGACATATATAGCTCGTAAGTGTAAGATCTTCAACATAGTATTAGAATAGTACCAAATCTTTCAACTTGTGGTAAAAATGCATGATATAATCAGGATTTTTCATATTTTTTAATATGTATTTCATTTCTTATTTTTATTTTCGGACTTCAACCTGGTGTACATAATAAAGAATGAATGTAACGAGTTTGTGAAGAATAAAATATTATAATTTATTGGTAAAGATTGGTATACTTCAGGAATATATTAATTATTTCGATGAGTTTCGATCAATCTGAACAGTCAGTTATTATTTTCTATTAAATTGAATTTTGGGTTTGAGTTTAGAGAAACAGGGGTTGAGTTTATCCATTAGAGATAAGGGTATAATATCACACCCCAAACTCGAATTAATTCACTATCAAAATAGAGATATCTAACTAGGAGTTTAAGAGTAGAGTATACTCCAGGAGTACACCAATTTGGCCCATAATTTAATATTATCTGTATATAGTTTTTTGTGATTGAAGTGGAAAATAAAATAAGTGATTTTCAACAGAAATTTCTCCTTTTAGGTCTTTCGCTGGAAGATTGTTCTTAAGTTCCAGTCTCGTCGGTGATATGCATCTCAAGTTCTTCAAACCCAAGGGAAGGGGAGTTACTCCATAGAGAAAGAAAGAAAAGCATATAAGAAGGAAAAAACTTCATGGTGGTGATGGGATTCTTCTTCGATCAGTAATCTCCACTCTAAGCTTGATTCTCAGACTCTAATGACAAAGAAATGCTCCAAAATAGCATTGAATTATGCAACGCATTTAAACCCTCGGCATATACCAAGTCACGTCTAAATAATGTCACGACCATGACATTAATAATTCGGGACTTGTCTTTCCTATACACATCGTTTCATTTAGTGGCTCTTGGGGTTTCACGACCTTGACATTAGTGAAAGTCATGGTCGTGGCATTCAACTATGCTTCTCCCCTCTCTACTGCATCTCACGGTCTAGAAAAGGGAATTAAGGCTTGGACCGTGACGTTGCTCCTTGGGTCGTGACATTACCCGTGGCTCTCCTTAGTCTCGTTTTATCTTTCGATAGTTGTGAAACTCGCCCCTATGCTTCCTCCACATGCTAGGATCTAAAATATGACAAACAAACACAACCTAACACAAAATGGGGAAAGGATAGAGCGCTTTCAGATCAAATGACCAACAAAACGATCAAGAGACAAGGGAAAACATATATAATGAAGAACATATCAAAAGGTGTTGTATATATAAGGTCCCTCTTGAGTTTCCTTAGACTCGCTTCAATTGGTACTAGCAGCATATGAGCTGTTTGATTCTTGTAGATTTATTCCCACCATCTGTATGACGTTTATCATATCCAATAGCCTTCAAGGACCCTATCTCTCGATGAGTCATGCAATCTAGCTGACTGTTGATTGATCATTTTCCGGTGCGCGATTGAGATTTAAATTTATAAAGTCGAAGCACACTCTCTAATCAATCCTAACTAAGTCAATTATAACCTAGCTAGGGTTATAGTAAAGTGGCTCAGTTGTATTCCAAGGGATCCCTAAGTATATTATTACTTCGCTCTAAACTACTTTCTAATCGGGGTGGAAGTTTGGTGAGAGGTTGTAGCTAATTTAGTGAGCTCTTTGCCGTGGGGTTTCATGGTTATCCACAGGCCTCCGAGTATGCCTCGCTAAACCCATGTTCCAGTCACCTCGATCTATGCTATCGTATATGGGGCATTAAGCTTATGGCTCATTTCAATGGACACTATCCACCGTACACACCGAGGTTTCATCCCGACTTTCATCAAGGAAGGCTACCTATAGCAGGGTTTCAGTCACCTCAACCACAATAGGCCCTCATTCACACATCCATCCTAAACTCGCCAAATGACGCATACCCAACGCAGGAGCATAAAGTACACTAAAAGGGAAGATTAGGGTGACTTACTCAAACATCATCATTTAAGAAAGAGTGGCATTATAAATCAAATAGACAAATACATTCATTCATTCAAAACCCACACATTCACAACCTATAACTAGGGTTCATCTACCTAAAAACAACTATATGAGAAGCCAAGGAATAAGTGGAAAATAGTGCATGTAACATAAAAGTATTTATTTATTAAATATTAATAAAATGTTAAAAATGGTAACATAAACTCGCCAAATGACGCATACCCAACGCAGGAGCATAAAGTAGGCTAAGAGAGAAGATTAGGGCGACTTACCCAAGCATCATCATTTACGAAAGAGTGGCATTAAAATCAAATAGACAAAAACATTCATTCATTCCAAACCCAAACATTCACAACCTATAACTAGGGTTCATCTACCCAAAACAACTATATTAGATACTAATAAAAGGTTATTTAAGTATAAATGATATCACACAGATATTTAATTATTATATAATAGTATTTTGTAAGTTCAAGAAAAATAAAAAGGAAAGTTCAAGGGTATGATGAATTTTGAAAACTAGGTAGGTTAGTTTTTGAAATGCGGCCACTAAAATCAAGTCATTTGCAAATGACTAATGGTGCCAAATGACTCATTTTGTTGTTGGCAAACAAGTTATTTGATACCAAATGATTCATTCAAATGATTCATACAAACAACTTCCTTATCCCTGAAACTTAACCTAAATATTTCCTTTGAAAGAAATATGTTAACAAATAATTTATGTCTCAACAAGTCTATATTATTATGTTAAGATATGACTAATATCACCCACTCCATTTGATCAACATTTACCTAGATCGTTGTATTTTGCGTAAATTTCATTGACTTTGATGGTTATGTACCTCTTAGTACTAGTGTCGCTCTAATATAATCTTCTGGGTTCGTGCATCTAGTTTACAGCCTGTTTGGATGGACAAAAAACTCAGGAATTGGAATTCCATTTCCAATTCTATTTCACTCTTTCATGTTTGGAATGGTAAGAAGGTTGGGAAATGAATTCCATTTGACTATATTGGAAATTAGAATTCCTATCAAAAGTGATAGGAATTGGGTTTATAGAGATGGAATTAGTGGGACCCATTCATATTTATTATTATTTTATAATTCCACTATCTTATTTCTCTCTTTCTCTCTCATCCATATTTCATTTCTCAAGATAAAAAAATCTACTAAATCATTAATGATTGTTAAAGAATACAATTCATTTCCATAGTTGTTGGAATTATGCCAAACACAAATATTGGAAATGGAATTCCATAAAAGTTAGAATTGGGAATGGAAATCCATTTCCATTTCTTATGGAATTGTATCCAAACAGGCTGTTAGGGTCGGATTTTATGTTTAGTATGAATGAATTACCTTTTTTTTACATTACTATGATTTGATATATCAGGGGCATGATTTTTTATTCATGCTTCTTCGACACCATCATTATAATGTTCACACTATGTCTAGTCTTCAATACATGCACTCGAGTTATCAATTACAAGACCATATAAACCTCTACCGAACTAAACATTAATATTTTGCAGAAGGAGTGGTCGATCTAATCTACATTATGGTTGACCTAATTGACAATATGGTCGACCTTGTGGTCAGTCCAATTGTCAATACGATCAGCTTGATCAACTATGTTGTCTACCTGATGGGCCATGCGGTTGACTTGATTGTTTATGTGATCGACCTAAGCAATCTTGTATAATCGTCCTTACCAAGCTTCTAAAGTATCAAAAACCTATACCAAACTTCAAGTAAATTTATTTGGAGTTTAGCTCAAGTCACTATAGTCATATTTTTTATGATGTTGCGTTATCCCTTTGAATTTGTTTTTATAACACCAACCTAATTTGAGTTGGGTTAATTCATAAATATAAAAAAGAGTTGGGTTCACATAAATGGGCTTAGAATAATAACAATAAGTCAATAACTAGTTTTAGTCCTCAGCAGC